AATCTAAAGGTAATCAATCACAAATACTACAAATGTAATATTCCCATTAATATCACATAATGCACACTAATTACACATTTCATATCGACACATGTGACTTGAATGCAACTCAATGCAATATGCATGTGGTACCAATTGTTATCTTTTAGGGTTTTTATTTTTAAACCGGGTCCATTTCTCAAACAGATAACCACCAAAAAGCTTGTCCTCTTAGCTTCAAACCAGTCTTCTAGGTTTGGGACAAGTCATTAGCCTCCACGAAACTACCAAACATCGCCTCTTGACAACAAATGACGCATGTGTAATTTCAACAATCATATACAATTAAGATTATCTCTCAATCTTAATTATACAAGCATATATCACATAATTCATCACATTTGAATTATCTCAGTATTTCACAATATACACATTTCAAGTCATCATTCACATACAATGCATTCTCATATCACTAACTAACGCAACACACAACAATAACATATAGCCAACAATGCCAAAGAATGTTATTCACATCCAACATCAATACTCAACAGACATATATACATAATTCAAGTGTTATATTTTCATCAAAAAGTCATCTGAAACCTATCCAATACACACTTAATAAATTATTAAAATTCATGGTAATCCTATATAATCATTATAAGCATACAAGATTCCAAATAAATTAAATAAAATATTAAAATTTCACATTTCAGGTCGCACTAAGGTCCCTCAAGGCAGTAGCGCGTCCACTAAGCATGAAAATCCATGCTAAGCACGCTCTGCAATTTCTGCAGAAAAACCCTGCGATAGCAGTCTCGGGTCCCACGAGTTCAGCCCATAAAACTCATCCAAATAGACATGTTTCATGAATTAAATGAATTAAAACATATATCTATCATGTAGCATCAATTACAAAAATCAAAACATGATTCAAACATCAATTTCATGGATTCTCATTCAAAACCTAAGCATGTCAAAAACCTAGCAATTAAAATATAACTTCCTAATCATGTTTGCTACTTATTACATATATCACATACTTCCGTAATCAAATGAAAACTCATCCTTATCTTAGATTTAGATCCTTATAGGGTTCTTCTCTCTTATCTTCTCATTTCTCCCATTTCTCCTCTTTCTTCTCTTGTTTTGACAACTTTTCTCCCTAGGTCTATTTTCTCGTTGTTTTATAAAACCCATACTAATTACTGTTTTACTCTAATGGGTTTATCTCACACACTCACACTAATGTAACACATAAGACTCAATTATTCATTTTGTTATTATCACACCCAATAACCCAATCCACATATAAAACATATATTCACAAAATCACACAATTAATTAATTACTATATAATATAATAATTAATAAAATAAATAACTAATAAAATAACTAATAAATAAAATTGGGGTGTTACATGTACAAAACCAAATTTCATCAAGTGAAAAAGCTTCTACACAAGAGTTATATTTACATAAAATAAGCGAGTTTCGTAAATATAAACATCTACCTTTTCTATTAAACAACAAAATAAGGCATTCGCCCTTCTATCTTATTTGTTCAGATGTTTGAGATTCCTTTACCAATCTAAATGTAACTAGTGCTAGGTGGTTTATGCATTTTATATCTTTACTCCAAAGAAAGTTTGACGTCAGTACTATCTTTCTAAATTTTTTATGCATGATTAAAAATCAATTTGGAGTAAACATCAAAATGCTTAAGTCTGATAATAGAAATGAGTACTTCAATCATATTCTTATTTATTTCTATCAAAAAGAGAGAATTGTCCATGAGTCTTATTGTGTTAAAACACCATAGTAAAATGGAATTGTAGAAAGAAAAAAATGAGAATCTATTAGACCAAATCCTAGCATTGTTGATTCATCAAAATATTCCCAAAAAATTTATGGGAGAAAGATATTCTCACTAGCACATATCTTATTAATCATTTAACCTCTAGAGTATTAGAGTTCAAGAGTCTTATGAAAGTTCTTTCTTATTTCTATCTAAATTTATCAGCAAGTAATAATCTTAAATTTCAAATTTTGGGTGTGTCTAATTTGTCTATGTGAATAGACAAAACAGAAAAAACTTGATCCTAGAGCCTTAAGATGTGTTTTTGTCAGATATTCCTCTATCCAAAAGGGATACATGAGTTTCCATCCTCAATCTAATATGTTATTTTTTGTATCGTGGGATGTTATCTTTCATGAAGAGGAACCATACTTCACTCAACTTTATCTCAAGGGGGAGAATTTTAAGGAAGATAAGCTTGAAAGTCTCAAGCTTTCTGGTCTTTAGCCAAATACACTCAATATGTCAGGTGTTAAGTCAAATACATTTGGTCGTTCTGGTCGTGAGTCAAATACATTCAAATTTTCTATTATCGAGTCAAATACATCTAATATTTCCATTTTTAAGTCAAATACACTTAATAGTTCCGAGTCAAATACTTATAATCTTTCAAATTTCAAGTCAAATAGACTCAGTCTTCTTGGTCTCGAGTTAAACTTGTACCAGACCTATATGAGGCTCAAGAAATAAAAAGTTGAGTCAAATCAATCAAATTCACTAGTAGATGAACTTGGGCCTGAAGTGGATGTAAGATATAGAAAGAATCTGGTTTACATGAAAAAAATCAAATGACATTCTTGAATTGACACAAATTCAAGAGCCCGACTCGATTCCTTCAAATGAGGTGATTAGTTCTTCTGCATTACAAGAATAACAAGATAACATGATGACCAAAAAAAAAATTTCCATTAGAAAAAGAATCATAAAATGCACCAAACAACCTTTATCCCCTTTCAAACTATCTTTATTTACAAAAATTCTCACCCACCCATAAAGCCTTCCTTATAAATCTAAACGCAACTTTTATACCTACTAATGTTTTTTAGGCATTGTCTGATGAAAAATGGAAGCAAGTCATGAATATTGAGATGGACACATTAAAGAAGAATATAACTTAGGAGTTAATGACTTTACCAGAAAAGGAGAGACAAGTTGTATGTAAATGGGTGTACACGATAAAATATAAGGGCGATGGATCAATTGAAAGATATAAAGTCAGATTGGTTGCTAAAGGATTTATACAAACCTATGAAATTTACTATTCATATACATTTGATCTATTTGCAAAAATTAATACAGTCAGACTAATTTTATCACTTGCGGCCAATTATCGTTGAGATTTACAAAAATTTCATGTGAAGAATGTCTTCTTACATGGCGAACTTGAAGAAGAGATATAAATGTAGGTACCACTAAGGTATGATAAAAAAGTTTCTCAAAATATAGTTTGCGTGTTGAAATATATGTCATATGCCTTAAAACAATCACCTCGAGCATGGTTTGGAATGTTCACTAAGATTATGAAATTTTTAGGGTACAAGTTAAGTCAAGGAGATCATAACTTGTACATCAAACACTCGCCACAAGGGGGAGTAATAGTTTTGTTAGATATGTGGATGAAATTTTAATCACCGGAGATGATTGGAAGGAGCAATGAATCTTGGGTCATTGTTTGACTATGGAGATTGAAATAAAAACTATTGGAAATTTGAAATACTTTCTAGAATCGATGTGGCACATTCTCGAAAATACATTTTTATATCTCAATAAAAATACATGAGTGGTTTACTCAAGAAGACAGGAAAAATAATGTGTAAACATGTGAGCATTCTTATGGATCCAAATAATAAATTGGGTAATACAAAAGAAAACGTTACAATAGATAAAGAAATGTATCATCGTCTAGTTGAGAGATTAACTTATTTGTCTTACACTAAACCAAATATTACATATGCTATAAGTATGGTTAGTCAATTCATGCACTATTCAATAGAGATCCATTTACAAGTAGCTCATAGAATTTTGCAGTATCTCAAGGAAACTCTAGGAAGAGTAATTTTGTTCAAAAGAAATGGAAATACAACCCTTGAAGCATATACTGATGCAGACTATGTAGTGTCAATTATTGATAAGAGATCCACTACAGGGTGTTGCACTTTCTTGGAGGAAATCTTGTGACTTGGAGGAGTAAGAAGCAAAATGTAGTAGCATGTTCTAGTACTGAACTTGAATTTCGAGTCATGGCACAAGGCACTTAAGAATTACTTTTGCTAAAAATTGTGTTAGAAGATTTAAAAATCAAATGGGAAGGACCTATGAAACTCTATGGTGATAATAAGTCATCTATCAATACTGCTCATAGTCCAATTCAACATGATCAAACTACATATATTGAGGTTGATGGACACTTCACTAAAGAGAAATTTGATAGTGGACTAATTTGCACCTCATATGCGTCCCCACAAAGAAAACTTGCAGATATTCTTATTAAAAGGTTGAGTAATTCAAATTTTGAATGAATTGTATTCAACCTGTGAATGAAAGAATAAAGAATAATTATTCACCCGTTTGAAAGAGATGAAGGATATTGAAAATAGTTAAGTGTAGTGTATGTTTTTTATTAAAATGAAATATTTAAGTCTTTAGATTCATATATTTCGGGAGCTGAACTTATATTTATTTATTTTTTTAACATAAAATGTAACTAATTATGTAATATGTATAAACATGAGAACTTTATTCACTCAAGGATATTCGAAAAATTTCTTATTCTTATTTTTCAAAATATGCTTGGGGAGGTCCACTAGGGACACAACTTTGGGCTGATCCTAAAGTACTTTCAAGTAACAACTTAAGGTCTTGCTTCAGTAAAACACTAAACATAAAGTCTTTAAATACTAGCCATTAGAAATGCATGCTTCCCAATAAGTACAAATTTGAATAGAAAACCTATTAGAGAACGATAGTCCACCACTATTCCTAAGCAAATCTAAATTATGAATATATTGCAGCCACAATCAAAGTCTTCTCCCACTAAACGTGGTTGAGCTACATAGATCAGTTGATATCATTGTGTTCTGACATAACCAGCTCTTTGCATAGACCATGTAGTGAATGAATACCTTGATCATTTTGTAAAGATTATCCAAGTCTCCTTAGGTTCAATTCATGGGAGCAGAACATGAGCACCTGATAACAGCATACAAAAGCTTAAAGATCTCCTTCAAAACAAGGTTTATTAGCAACTGCATCTCAATGCATCAGAAACAGAAACTTTTTTATGCTTACCTTCTCTGGTTCAATAAATTCTCCACAGATCCCAACTTCCTCCATTCCGAGCACTTATCACACTGTATCCATTTCTCATTCATCCTGTGATTCAATTTGCAAATGAAATATTACATTAGTCCTAAATAATATATATCTAACAGAAACACGTACGCGCATGTTTTTTTGTTTCTCGAGTTTTGGTTTTACTAAGTGACACATGTTTATCTTACCCGTTTAAGAATATTCCTCTCTTTGCAATGATAGGAGGTTCCTGGGTCAATTTAAGTATAGTCAATTATCAATCTGTAGCACTGACACCTCTGGAAAAAAGTGTGTCCGTATCTATGTCAATGTTATGTTTCATGTCAGGTGTCGGTGTCCGTGCTTCATAGAATGTATCAAATAACATCAACAAAACATTTTCAACAAGCTGTATATGAAACATTTGTGGATTATTGTCATTAAATTAGTCCTTTGAATTGGTGTGCTACCATATTAGTTTACTCACTTCATATTCTTCAAAAACATGATCCTCAATCACCACAACGTTTGAATTAACTGATGGTGATGGGTGAAGAAAATCTTGAGCCTCTTTCCAACTAAGCTTCAACATCAATGCATCTTGGTTATCAATAACCAGCCTCTTGCTTTTTGAACCAATGTCACATGTTATTTGTTTCTTCTCAGGAACTAGCTCTTGTGGCAGATACATTCCATCTCTTTTCATGCCTTTAGACAAAGTGACTTCATGCACCTGTGGGAAATAAACTATCATAAATACAAAAAATAGGAAGTTTCATTTGAAATGGAGCCATATGATATATAATATCAGCAGAGCCGTCTTAAGTTTCTAGAGTATTGTGTAGATTAGTCATGGTCCAACCATGATAAAATAATGTCCTATTTATGTATAGTTTAAGTCTATGACAAATTTAAGATCCTGTATAGTACTTCACTTTGTACGTACTCAAAGACGGTCCAAAATATATATTCGAATATGTTACTAAATGTTTATGTTTTAAAAAAATTCTTCTTCTAACGAGTCATAACGTAATTTCTACATCTCTCCTATTTTACACGAGATCTTTACGAGTATCGATTTAGAGGCGGTTACCTGCGTAGAAGAATTTGACGTCTTTCGAAACCCTATTATTAGTATCTCCCCAGGGTCCATTCGGCTAAATGTTACGAAATCTCCAGCTTGCAATTGCATAGACTGAATCCAAGGATGTACACCTTCTAAAACATATATCCTGCTGCTATTATTTGGCCAAAATCTAAATCTAAACATCAGTTTCTTCCTTTTCACATCTTCAATATGTAAATAAATGCCCCCTGGTTCCGAAATCGGAGGAAAATATGCCTGCAAAAACCATACTTCTTTCAGTTCTAACAAATTATAGAAAAAGGTTTATAACAAAATGATTGGTTATGAGCAATATTTAGATAATTAGTTACTAAACTTACTTCAACGCATGGTTTCGGAAGAACCATGCGACCAAGTCGACCAACATCACTCGCTGTCAATGTCTTCTCAAACAGCGGTACAATGGTGGAATTTAAACTTTAACGCGTCATGAATTATGGTTAACAAATATTTTTCGAAGATAGAGTAATCGCTGAAACAATAAGTTTATCATTCTACATAAAATAAAATCAGGAGTGATCAAATTACACCAGTGTCATATTTATATTTAGTTACACCGTTCAATATCTTTATATCCGATGTCTTTATTGAACGGTGTAACAGAATGTAAGTATTACACCGGTGTTAATTTGATCAATTCACGCATGAAATACATAGCATACAATAAAAAAAATTTAGAAAAGTAATGGATACTCTCCAGATAATTGCTGTAATTCTTGATCAGTAATCTTAGGCAAATTACGCGGAGATATGTTCTTCCTTCGTCGTTTTATAGGTGATTGTCTCGCAATCTGAATTGGTGATGCCATGCGTACACATTTGTTTCTGAATCTGTAGCAAGAGCTGGGTTAGGGAGATTGTGAAACATACATATGTTTAACATCATTACTCATGCATGCATTTTTTATAATAGGTTTAACGTACCATGGCTAATAAAGATAATAGACGATTCAACAAATATTATATGTTTGCAATGGCAACAATGTATAATGAATTAAGCAAAAGAAATATATAAATTTATCTTACACGTTCGAGTGATGAATACTTTGAATAGTTTATACAGCTTATGCCACCAGTATCTTGCAACTCAAGTAGTGACTGAGAAACAACGATTCCACAATATATAATAATTTTGCACCCTCATGTAAAGTTAATAAGGAAATTCAATGGACACAAAAGATGGTAATTAAGGTTGAGAACATTAATGGAGGCTAGGGTTATGTTATATTGACCAACTTACAAAATCAGTAACATATATTATGGGAGAGACGAAACTACCCTTAAAAGTCAAGTTAACACATCTGAAACTCACACGTATCAAGAGAGAGTATCTTGAGTTTGTTAGTCAACAAACAATGAAATGTGACTTTGTTGAACCAACCAAAAATTTGCATACCTTAAAGAAAGTTTCTATTTTTACCATAACAATTCTCTTTTTAGTTTTACATTCTTATTATGCTGTTTTTATGTTAATTAACTCCATGACTAATAAAGGGTTTTCTTTGACAGGAATAAATCATGTTCCGGTTTTGACCAAGTCACATTCTGCTTCAATACGGCACACTAGAGCATTAATCTAAGAATAGAAGGTTGAGACTGATCGTAGTCCGGGAAGGCAGGAGCATTAACATGACCAATGCTCCAGAATTATAAGAGAGGGAGACGCTATATCTCCGTACAAAACCTTAAGATATTAGGTAAATGAATATTCTCTCTTATAAATCTAACATTCTACTTATTTATAGACAATGTGAGACTTTTAACCACTCACACAAGTGTGAGTCTCCGACATACTATAACAGGATCCAACACAGGATCTAACTCCTGCTCCTCCACCAAACTGAACCAGACTCTGATACCACTTATTGAAGAGTCTGGAGAAGGCAGAAGCACCAACGGGACCAATGCTCCAGGACCACAAGGGAGGGAGATGCCATATTTCCACCCTAAACCTTAAGGCATTAGGTAAATGAGTCATCTCTCTTATAAATCCAACATTTCACCCATTCATAGGTGATGTGAAACTTTTAACCACCCACACTTGCACCCAAGAGAGGTTGTTGGATCTATCTGATGAATCTCGTGAGATATCCCAAAAGATCAACTTCTTTGGCCGAATCAAAGAGTTTAAGTATCAGAAAATGATCTCGCACTAGAGTTATATAGAAGCATGACCGACAAAGTCCAAAGGACTGTCATAACAGATAATTTATTGATGTCACCTCGTTGATGTGGTGACGTCACGATGACGCTAGTCCTTTAGGGTATTTACCCACAAAGAAGTTTCTAGTACCACATAACGTGAGATGACATTACTCTAAAAAGACACCTAATCAAGTAGTCATAAGGAATATGACCGTCAGATCGTATTGTTAGTGATCCTCAGACACATGTCCAATCTGACATCAATACAAGTTGAAGGTTCTATATTTAGGAGCACACTATTCTAACCCTAAAACTTTCTAATTATGATCGTCATTCACTTGCACGTCAGAGTTTCTGAAGGTACTATCGTCAACCCACCTTTCGCTAAATTGTTGAACAATGATATCCCACAATAATCAAACTTTTCTACTTCTACAATTAACGAAAAAATAAACATCTTATGTGAGGCCTATTACTTGTCGTTTAGAGACAATCGACGAGGATTGAGGAATAAAATAAGTGGCTAGAGCGGATCAAAACGACTTATTTTGGTTTTCAAGAGAAACCATGACTAGAAAGAGGTGATCGATGACCAATACATGTAAACGAGGAAACAATGACACTCTATGACGAGGATCAAGCGGAAACGTCTCTCCATCATAGAAGAACAAACCACTGCAGATGTAGATCTTGTTCTCTAACATTGCATAAATGTTTATCCTCTAATTCTCATTGTCATCACCAACACCATAGAAGGCACTGTAGAAATTCATTTCCATCGTTCCCTTTTTATAGTTCATGAAATTAAGAAGACACTCCAAAGAGAAACACATTTTCCAAGAGAATCAGTGATTATTTTATCTTTTTGGAGCTCCAAAAAGCCTTTGGGGGTGGGAACATGTGATGGGACGATGGACCATGGTAATCACATCGCGCTTAGGGATGTTCTCCTCAATTTTCGTGGAGTAAGTGATCCTAAGATGTAAAAACTATTTACCCTCACCTTGCATTTCCTTTATGAACTTTAATAATATAACTAAGAATAAGATTTGGTTCTGCATCTGACCTTTAGTTTTGATGATAACAATACATGCGTGATTAGATAACAATTTAGTACCTTAATGATTTTATCTAGTGTGTATCTTTTGTTAACAGATTTTGACATTGAAGATATGATGTGTGAAGTCATTAGACTATGGACTTAACACACTGAGTGATACAAATACGTGTTATAAGAATCAGAATGCTTCTAAAATAACGGTTTTGAGAAACGTTAACTTTTAAAGCTTCTGATTGTGACTTTGATAGTAGAGCTTCTGAAGGCTTCTGAAGCTCTGAAGATTCTAGGCTCTCTTGCTCCAAGGTTCTGCATATTCTGAAGACAAGGTTCTTGTGAACAAGTTTTAAAGACTCTGAAGACCAACATGCTGAAGACTCTGAAGACAAAGTTCTGAAAACTTTGAAGACAAAGGTTCAGAAGACAAGTTTTGATCCTTTTAAACATGTTTCAACTAATACATAATCTAAAGCCTCTGGAGATTAGAATATAAGGTCAAAATTATTTACGTGAGAAATAGTACAAGATTACCTCATTTCACTACTCTAATTTTATGGCGAAAGGATTATACTATTGGTACAATGTTTTCTACCACTCACATTGACCGTTATGCAAGAAGTCAATTGGAATTATAGTATTCCTATTATACACTCCAACGGATTTCTTTTTTTCTATAAAAGGAAGACTTGAAAGAATTGGAAAAACAACTTTTTACGCTGAATTATTTTGCTAAAACGCTGTTGAAATTTCATTATAAATATTTTGTAAATATTTGTAAAGCAAGGAACTTTTGTTCGTTAACTTGCTAGCGATGAACGGTTGTTCGCTAACTTACTTCTAACACTATTGTGTTATTTCTGTGTATTTCAACTTGTGTAAGTATTGTTAGGTCTGTGATTTTATGATTGGTAGAAATTTTGTTAATACATGTATCACATCAAGATGTCGTGACATATTGATCATACATCGTAACAAGCTCATTTTTTACTTCTTAGAAGATTTGGTTTATTTAAGTGTGGGATTGTCTATCATTTTATCTCACATATTTTTGCAGTTCAAGAAGGATTAATTTTGGAACAACTGTAAAATTTTGGCACTTACAATAACAGAAGTCAATACTGATGTCTCAACAATACACAATGTCACGACATATGTTATAACATCTGCTGGCAGAAAAATAGACTTGCTAAAAACAGAAAGATTATGCAGAAAAGTAAATTGCAGAAACTTAAAGAATACAATCAATTGTTAAACCAGTTCGGTGAAAATCACCTACTCTAGGGGCTATCAATCTAGGAAGAAAATTCACTATAAGTAGTATCAATTCAAAGCTAAATAGTCCCAGTTTACAATTTCTTACTTAATCCCTATCTAGTGCAACTTCTACCTAGGAACCTCCTAGGTATGAGAATTGTAACACCCTGAATTCTAGATTAATTATTTATTTAATTAATTTTGTGTAAATATATGAGTCTTTGTGAAGTGTTTGGTATATATGATGTTTTTGTGTTTTGTGTTAGTCCCTGTGACAGTATATGGTGTGTATTCGTGATGCATTTGTGATGCAATAACAATGACTTGATGAATAAGATGTTTAAGATGATGAATTGTATGGTGTAGGATGGGATAATAAGAGGGTTTAGAATTTAAATAATTAGTTTAGAATTATTTAAATTTAATAGTGATTATTTAGAATTATTTGGATCTAAATAAATAGAATAATATGTGATGTAGAGAAAATAAGGGCATTGTGGTCATTAGTGAAGGATAAGTGAGGGCATGATGGGAAGTTCATTATTAGGGGTCTAAGAGGGAAAGTTTGGTATAAGGATAAGGTTTTGAATTTTACACGCTCATTTTGTATGATAGAATTTGGAAGAAAAATGTGGAGAAAAGAGAGCTAGGGCACGAAGAGGCAAGAAGGACATAGGAATCCCGGTAGAGCACGAAGAGGAATTGATCTCTAGCAATAATCTTAATTTAAGGGGAGTTTTATCATTGTTATTATATTTAACTTAAGGTTTATATGATTGGTAGATTGCCTTATGTCACACCCCAAAATTTGCCCTCTCATTTCTCAAGGAATCATCTTGGATCCCCAAGTTTGCTTCCATCCAATTCCAAGCCTTGAACTGCAAATTTTCAAAGAAATCATCCACAAGGGCAAACTGGTCATTTGCACACTGAAAAAGTCAAACTTTGACTTTTGAATCAAAATCAAGCTTCAAGAATCATATTTCATCAAGACACTTTGAAATATGAAGTTTTGTTTCATCAAAATCCAAAAGGTCAAAATTCTAAATACTTAGAATTTTTTCTAAGTATTTAAGAAAAAATGACCACTTCAGAAATTCTGAGCCAGCCTCCAGGCAGGTGCAGTCAGAAGTTACAAACATGGTTCAGAACGTAGCTTTCAATCAGAACATGGCTCTTCAGCATCTACGCAAGTTCAGTCAGAGTTTGCTAGGATAATGTAAAGAAGGTAATAAGGCGTAATATGAAGCCTGAAAGCTCATTCAAAACATGCTGGAGCCATAAGATAAGAGGATCAGAAGATGGGATGCCACGCTGAAGCAGAACTTCTGATCCAGAACTAAGCCTTGGTGTAGAGTTTCACATTGCAGGATTTCTGGTTGTGATAAGTCTCATCATCATTTAATGCTCACAACCACCTTCTGAGTCTTTATCCAAAGGATCTTTACCACGTGTACCTCTACTATCTTGGGATAGCAACTTTGCTTTTGCTTTTCCTTAATTCCTACCGACAGTCACCATGCTTGCTTCAAAGTCAAGGCAGCGCTTCAGCACATGAAGGCTATTTTCAATGCTTTGGTCAGAACTTGACCAAATCCCAAGATCTTGTTTATACAACTTGCTGCAGACCTATGACCAACAACTGGTTCAGCCTACGCCTGCATCCCATGATTACACCAAACTAGCATACGAAAACTGTGATGAAAAAGCAAAAGAACAGGATGCAAAAACAGGTTTAAATCCCATTTGTTTTCCCCCCCAAATCACAACAAATTCATCTATAAATACTTGGCTCCATAACACGGTCAACGGGCTGGCTTTTGAAGAGAGAGATTGGCCAAAAGAGAGAAAAGGAAGTTGTGAAACCTTCATAAAAAAATCCAGATTTCTCATACATAAAAACAAACATTTGTTCTTCCCTTTGAACAAAAGGACACAACCACTCTTCCGTCTCTCTCGCTGACTCAGAACATCCAAAGGCAGCCACTTAAATCTCCAAGCACGCTCCAGGTAAGTCTTTCTGACTTTACTTGCTTTTCATTCTGAACATCATCAACATGTAAATATCATAGCATTAATGTTGTATATATCATTGCTTAAATAGAAAACTATGGATCGGAAATTCTAGAATAATGCTAGGCTCAGACTTAGGATTGGAACTTCTATGATTTGTTGTGTTGTGATCATTCTGACCTGCTGAACTGAATAAATTGTTGTTGTGTTGATTAAGAGCTGAAATGTAACACAGAACTTCTATTTTTCACTCATCTTTTTAACACACAAAACATCTAGGATTTTCTCACTGTTTAAGCACGCAGAACTTCTGAGTTCTCTTCACTGTTTTAACACATAGAACTTCCATGATTTTTCTCACTGTTAACACATACTGAACTTCTGATGTTCACCCGCTGGCCCAGCACAATACTGAACTTCGGATGTTCACTCACAATCTTAACAAAACACAAAATTTCCGAGTTCTCCTTACATGTCAAATACACTGAACTGCTGACGTTTGCTCACTGTTTCAATGTAATACAGAACTTCTGACTTTTGGTTCACTGGTTGGACACCACCTAGAACCTCTGTGTTTTCCCTCTAACCTTTTGCAGGACTTCAGAGTGTATCAATCCAGAACCTTTGTTCCCTTTCCCTCTGACGTTATTTTGCAGGACCTCAGAGCGTACAAATCCAGAACTTCTGATCCCACTGACGTTTCCTGCTGAGTCACGCGCCTGGCTTCAGAACTTCGGATCCTAGTTGTTCTTCTTGCAGCAACACGCTGTTTCTACTTTGCATTTATTTTCCTTTTCATCTTTTTAATATTAACATAAAAAACATAAAAATATTTTCCTTTTAATTTATTTCCTTAAGACAAAACATTTTCTAAACAAGTCCACTTTCTTTCTTATATTGTACATATTCAATATGGTTGTAATAGTAACTTAGGACTTATTTTACTTGCAACCCCCATTCATAAACTTGTACACCGCATCCCCTAAAATGTTGTAATAGCGTAGGACTCTACATTTTCGCGCTTTTATTGCTTTCATATACTGTATAGTAATTAGGCGTGTATGGCAAGATAAAACCAACAAGTAGACCACCAAAAATCAAAGACAAATACATGCTATCAAACACACTATTCACACATGCACCCTTAAGGTTAAATCCACTTGTTGCCTAAAAAATGGTCATGTTATGCATGTGGGGTGTCTTAGCAAAAACAATCGAAATACAAGATCATAGTCCCTCGATGACGCTATCAAAGTTGCCTTTCGAAATGATCTTAGTCCCTAAATAAAAATGCTAAGTCATCTCACAACATTGCTATCATGGTCATACGATGACCAAACGCCCGTCCCTTCACATCCAATGACGGGGCTTCTTACCAAATCAATAGTAAGATAGAAACATCTAAAGGAGAAGGAAAAGCACATCTAAGATCTTTTGAGTAGGTAGGTTCGCTCTCAGTTACTCGCTTGCTCACAACAAAAACATTTTATACACCAACACCCTCACTTT